TACGTACGCATTTTTTATATTCGTCCTACGTGAGTCGCTAGTGAAAAAGAAAATGAGGAACGGAAGGAAGAAGGGAGGTAGACAGAGAGCAAAAGGGGGGAGAGGAGGAGAGAGAGAGAGAGGGTCGAGAAAAAAAGGAAAAAGAGATATTTACTATATGCTCTCTAGGCGTCCTAAGTCTTTAAAAGCACTAGAGAAACATAAGTTATATAATTAGAGTGTAAAAGCCACGTATAAAAACAGATTAGGTATAAGAGCACATTAGGTAATGACACGCATTATTGCGGTATTATTGTCCTTCGTATTATTGTCATACGTAAGTTATTACGAAAGGTACGGTAAAAACGAGACGGAAAGAAAGAGAGAAAGACAAAAAATTCAATTTATTAATGCTGCGAGATCATTTCGATCCCTTGCCTTAAAAGCATACACGAATAATTATCTCAAACAACATTGGACAATATTGGAAAAATGATTACCTCGTTATTATCGAACAGAGATAAAGATCCACCCAAAAAAAAATATTCTGCAGTTTAGCGGTTCCTGGTTCATGCTAGAGGATTTTCCTCTGAAATAGGGCCTTAAGAAGATGTTTTAAACTGTAGAGGAATATCCTCTAATCATGAGACTCTAGATTCAAGATTGTGCAATCCTCTTAATATTAGAGGACATTGATTTCCGATATTCACCCGAAATAAATAAAAAAAATTATTTATTTTGAAATTTTATTACTATTTTATAACTAAATTTGTTTCTTAAGATGTAGTCTATGATTATAAATATTTTTTGTATTGGAAAAAACACTTACCTTGGTGGGATCGAACTCGGGACCTCTGGATCGTGAGCCAACTGCCTTACATGGTAGACCACTTCTTAATTTGATGTAAGTGTTATATATTGTCTACATAACCAGCGGAAATATATAATTTTCCAAAAATCATCTTAATAAACAAATTCAGTTTAAAAAGAGTAATAAAATTTTGAATTGGATATAAGATATATGATATAATATTTCTTAATGTCGGGTGAATGTCAGAAACCAGTGCCGGCTTATTATGAAATTTTGTGTTCGTAAATATATTTATGAAAATAATATGTTTATAAAGTTAAAACGTTAAAACATTCTTATCAAATCCTTACAAGGGCCTCAATAGACAAAAATAAGAAAACGTTTCTTATGGCATCCCTAATAAATAATGATCGGGACCTTATCCGGTTAGCCCTAATAAATAAGTATTTATGAAGTTAAAACATCCTTATCAAATCCTTACAAGGACCTTATTAGATAAAAATAAGGAAACCTTTCTTATGGAATCCCTAATAAATAATGATAGGGACCTCATCAGGTTAAAATAAGGAAATCTTTCTTATGGCATCCCTAATATATAACTAATGATCGAGGACTTATGTTATATAAGGCCATTCTTAATAAAGACAACAGGCAATAGGAACAGGGAATAAAAATCAGAAATCAATGTATATAAATGCAGAATAAACAGTGACACAGGCAATAGACACAGGAGTTTCCGTCACGTTGGAAATTATGTGTCTATTGCCTGTTGCCAACAAATCATAACATTCGAATATTTTAGGTTGTAATTAACGATTTTTTATTATTTCCTGTTCCTATTGCCTGTTGCCTGGCATTGTGCAAGGGGCTGAACTTTCTACACGGGCGTCTCGTGTGGTAGCGTACGCATCGCGTAGCTAATAAGACGATCGTCTTTTAACTTTAACGCGCGCGCCGCAAATATCTAGCATATCCTCTTATTTTAAGAGGCTAATAGTAGAATTTACTGTAGAGGAATTTACTCTTGATTATAGCTTACGCATCCACTCATTTATAAAGTAATACGTATTACTTAAAGAAGGATATTCTTCATATAATGTTTTTTTTGCTTAGAGGAACTGCTAAGAGGAATTCCCCACTTATCGGCAGAATATTTTTTTTTGGGTGTCGAACGCACTCGTTGTAACTGCCAAAGAATGTATTCGATAAATAATGTCAACAGAGAGAGAGAAGCTGAGAAATGGAGCGTAAACTCTGTTTAATAAGGCAAGCGAAAAGATACACGAATAAATACAGATTAATTGTCTTCTGAAACGAGTCTCCCAAGAATCGTAACAAAAATTACACGGAACAGTATATGAGATAAAGAGTTACAAAGAGAAAGCTATATTAGTAAAAGACTAGGAGCAAACAGTCAAGATAAATAACAGGAAAGATTAAGACCAAAGCTGAGCGATGTCAGAGAAACTGTGAGACGGAGGACGACGCAACTCTTTGATATTTGCATACTGCACCCTGCGAGGGAGGAATTTTGGTGGGCGGGAAAGGGAGGAGGGGGGGGCGGCGGAGAGGACTGGTGGTTCAATGCGAGAGCGCGACCTCCTTCTCTCGCGGAGTGTTAAATTAAATTATTATTATCCCCATTATCATTAAGCACGCCGAGTACTAGTGCCCCCCCTCCCCCACCCCCCCGGCCCCGATATACATCTCGGGGGCCCGCGTATGCGCACACATGCACACACA